ATCCATAATCCCCAAATATTTGTCTATACCCTTCTCTGGGCCGCTTCTCTCCATGCAGAATTCCAGAGTTCCTCTCCTGGCCCACTTGGTTCTTTTGCTACCATGGCAACTCTGTTCTTCCTTTTCCCTCTGGTACATGACTCTTCTGTGATCTTTCTGTCCTCAAAGCCCTTGATCTTAGCTCCACCCCTTCCTTCTGCACTGCCCAGGTGTAGGCCTTTTATTCAGCCAATTAGGAATAATTTCTCAGGCAACGTTATGAACATCATTTGGGGGTACGTGAGTGTCTGCTCTTAAAAGACTGAGAGCAGACCTCGGGAGCAGCATAGTTAACAATCAAGTACACAGCACCAGACCGAGCTGCTACAGTTCCCTTTTTTCTGTCTAATGAAAAAGGCTTTAAAAAACTATGCACAAGAACAACTATGAAACAATTATAAAGACCAATAAGTAAGACTTACATACACAATGTCTAGTTTAAATGGCAACTTTGAAGAAAATACTATCTATCCTATGTTGCTTAGTCTAAAGTTTTGTACCTAGATTGATTTCTGTCGTATCTTGTATCTATCAGCCTAAAAGCATCTATCTAGACCTTAAAACATCTTAACTTCTAAGCAATTAAGCTTAATTGTAAAACTATTAACTCTCTAGTCCTCAGCCCCATCAGAGACTTGAGAAGGAAATAAAATTATTATCTGAGTAAATAGGAAGTGCAGGCATGCAGCCTCAAAAAATAAATAATGACAGGGACAGTTCACTGCCTGGTCACTGGAAAATCTCTGTGACGCTGGAGCATCATCTGCGGCCTTCTGGCCCAGTATATATGACAGACACCACAGTTTCACCCCTTTAACTCTTACTTGTCTTAGACACATTAGAGGTAAACAGAAAACATTAGCTTTTCAGAAACCACTCACTTCGATCTGTTTCCTATCCGTTCCCAACATGCCTTGCCTTTCTCTTAAGGCACACTATCTTTTCTCTATGTTTCAGCCCCCATTAACCAAGGCGTGCTTTGGGGGCCTCCCTGCCGAAGCATGGTATAGCTGGGGAAGGGCTGGCATGGATTCTTGAGGAGGCAAACCAGCCTCTTCCAGAGTCCGAGTCCAGCTCACACTCACAGCTATCGTCTAGCTTTCCCTCATCTTCCACCATGGTCCAGGTGTCTTGAAAAGATTTAGTGACATGACAGAGAGGACAGGAAGAGAGAGCAGAGAGGGCAAAGGATTCCCATCATTGTTGCCTTGCCAGCCACGTTACCCTCCAGTCTATCATTCCTGGGACAGTGACTTCCCAGCTTTTCTCAGTGTAGGTTACTAGGTGTCTTCGGTTTACCTTCCTCTTCATCAGGCAATGCATTATCAGACCTCTGAGCCTCACAAAGCCTGTCACAATCAGCCTTATCAGTCAGCAGCCACCATCACTACCACCACCAGCAGCAGACTACAAAAATTTCTTCTTCTCTTAGCCAAGACCTTCCACGCACACAATCCTTCCAGGCACACCATAGCCCTGCCAGCGCCCCTCTTATGTACCCCTTCCCTGCCGTGAGTTGTGTGTCTTAGTCCCTCGGCACCTCTGACCTAGCAGGCACGCCATTCAGTGCTTAGAGGTTGCCTGTTCAAAATACAGTTTTCCAACATCAAAGGCCTTTCCCTAAATAGTTTCATATAAATATATGCGAGAGCTAACTGGAAAAAAATGTGGATGATTTTGTTGATTTAGCGGCTTCCCCAAATGTATCAACAAATATTTCAGGGCACTGGTGGTAAGTCACGTACATGGGAACTCTGTCTTGTGGTAGCACATCAGCACCAGAATGCACAGTCCTACATGGGAGTGGCCACTGGAGTTTCAGGCAGTAGCCTTCTCTTTTTAGCTGCAAGCAGCCACACTTGGAAGTGCACTTTGAAGAGTCGGCGGATATTGTTTGGAATGCCATGTGAGCCATAATGGTTTTCTGTGTGGGTCAAGCTCAGCGAGGAAGGTCTGGCAGGGAGAGGCCTGAATGGTAAGGTGGACACTCAGGACAGTTTTTTCTGACTTTTAAACCCAGTGCAGACTGTGTTCTTGGGCCAGTGATCAGTTAGCCACCAGCCAGGACTAGTTGCTGCCTCTGGGTCTGTATGCCACTCACCTTGGCTAGTGGTTCCTAAACAAGACAAGGTGCTGGGGCATATCCCAGAGGATATACTGACCTCACTGCTCAAACAGTCTGCATCAAAAATAATCTGTACCCCAAAGTACCTCACCATTGTAGGCTTGGCCACTTTAGCTCTCATTTCTGCCCCTGCTGTTCTCAAGGAAGCCATGTCCTCAGTGTGTTGTTGACACGATGATGCCCAAGTGTCAGTGCCCAGGCTGGCGTCGAGCTGCAGCAGGAACAGCGAGCCTTCCGGGAGGCCCAGCTCACTGGGTTCAGCGGTTGTTCTCTGTTCAGAGGTCAGCTGAGTGGTAGTAAGACTCCCTTTTTCCATGAAGAAAGTTGAGGTGGGAATCAAGAGACACCCACAAGAGCACGGCCATGCCCCAACAGATGCCTTCCCCAGACTCCTCAGGCTTGGCTTTTGGCGCCTGCAGTTTCAGTTTTCCCTCTTTCTGGGTTCCACTCTGTCTAGTCTGTTTACCTGTCTCTGGCCCATGGCTTCTAGGTGCCCATACTGAACAAGTGTACAGTGGAGTTCTGGGAACAGCATGTGTGGACACACCTTGCTGAGCTTTCCAGTCTCTTGGCAGATAGCTCAGAGCTCACAGATGAGAAGGATCTTTTGTGATGACAAACATGACCAGCAGTGAACTGCCTGGCACACAGCTCTATTCCCTGGTCAAATGCAAGCCTACAGGTTGATTCTGACACCAGGGCTGGATGCCCAGACATAGAACCTTGGAACAAATGCCTGCTCTGCTTTAAGAGCCCTTCCCCGCCCTGAGCCATCTACAAGGCTTCAGCCTTCTTTATGGAGAAACAAAAGTACTGTAGCCAGCCAGAGAGACAAGATGCTTTATTATTGGAAAATCTAAGAGGCTCTTAGGCCTGTGTAGCACCATTAGGTGACGTCAATGGCTCAGGGGATCCAAGCTCTGTGTTTTCACTCTTCTCAGAACAGCAACTGATTCATAGTAGCAAAGGAGTTTCTATTTGGAGCTGCAGAGGAGAGGCAGCCTCCGTGTGCTGGCATCCCATGCTAACACCTGCCCGCTCCCTGTGGGCAGCAGGCAGAGTTCACGGGAGGCCACGACGGAGACACTCACTTCCCCTAAGCTAATCAACAGCCAGAGGCTTACTATGTGCTGGCAGCTGGGCATACAAAGGCTCTGACATTGCTAGAGAGGAGAGGGCAATTTAGCACACAGACCAATATGATAGTGAGGAGGAGACAAATTGATAAGGGGACATTGGGGGTCTGGGAAAGGAGTGCTATATCATGTATCCTGGGCTGAGCCATGAAGGACCAGCAGTATTTGGGGATGTGGAGGAACAAGGATTGACATAGCAACACTGGAAGTTGCTTGACTAGATGAGAAAGACAGGAATGGGGGGTGAGAAGAAAAGGAAACTGCCTAGCTTATTGCTGAAAATGATAAATATGCAGGCCATGAGCTGGACTTGACGCTGCATAGGACCTGGCCTGGAGCCACTGCCACGGCTTCTGTGGGGCAAGAGCATGCTGGATTTGGGGCATCCGTTGTCCCTGCTTAATTTCTGGCACAAGAACGGATACAGTCAAAGTCAGCTTGTCCTCTCTTGTGGACCCACATCTTGAAAATGGTGGTCTGCACCACTTTACAGATATACAGACAGATGTCTGTCTCTAAAGGGACACCAGGATTCCATGTCCCCCTCCCTCTGCTTGTCACTGCTCATACAAGCCTCATTCTTCTTCCTGGTGTGAACTGGGTATGACTGTTTGATGATGTTTTGTCCCTATGACAGTCCATTCTCTTCCTTTCCAAGGCCTCCAAGGCCTTGCTCTCTGCATGTGTTACTGATAGATCCTTTCCTGATCCTAGCTTAGGTGCTCAGTGGTGAAGGAAGCATTTTGTATTGGACCCAATCTCATGAGCAAGTGTATGACCACAGATACTTTTGACATCTGGGACTCCATGAAGCTCCCTTAATTCAGCCCCCCTGTTCCTCTGGAACCATCTCTAGGAGGAGTCCTGGGGGCTTCCATCTTGCTGCTAGCCCAGGTCCTCACCTGGCCTCATCCTGCCCCTCATCATGCCCACTGTGTGAGAAAAGGATGGATTATGTTCCAGGTGCCACTGAAATTCCTGAGAGGCATTGTTCTTTCTTTGAAAGCCAAAGTCAAAGGTCATATTTAACACTTATCAGTAGCTCACTGATAGCCATACTTATTTCATACTTCATAGTCCATGAATTATTAGGTATGATATGGAAACTACGTGATCAAATGGTAAAAATATAAATTGCATAAAAGTACCTGAAACAATATAAAAAATATAAAAATATAAAAACAATATAAAAACTATATAAAAACAATATAAAAAAAACTACCTTAAGACATTCTTAAATCTACCAGCTTGCTAAAAGACAGAATTTAAAACGTACTACTCCCCATGATGTAATGTAAGAAAAAATTCCCAGTGCTAATTTGGAGTGGTTCTTACTTTGGCTACGAGCTGGAGGAATGCATGCTCACATGGATATTTTTCTTTTGTTTAAGAAATTAAGATAGGAAATAGTAACTTTTTGTTTGTTTTGAAGAATTTTATGTTCCCGTAAAATGTATCAGCCTGGAGAGAGCCATGAGGCAGAGTACAACCAAAGCCCACACTCCTCACAAAGTGAGACAGTCTGTGGAGAACTGAAGTGAACAAACAAACAAACAAACAAACACCAAAACCAACCAGTGCCGGAGGCTTCCCCATACTCCTTCTTAGCCAGCCACTACAAGAAAATATGGAGAAAGACAAGCAGAGAACAGGGGCAAGAATGACGCATGGGCAAGCTGAGAGGACGCCGGATACTGTACCTGCTTGTTACTGTCAGCGGTACAGCACAGCTTCTTGAGGGAGACAAAATGCCTAATTTTCCTAGTAACATAAACAACCGGTGATTAGTGAGTCAGGTAAGAGAGGATGCAACAAGTCAGCACATGGATACAAGCCTCCTCCAAGCTGAGCTCTAGGCCCTTCCTAGCGCACATTTCCTTAGCAGCCTGGCCTTCCCTGCAATCCCGACTGGCAAGGCCGCACCTTCCTCATGGACTTGTCCATTTTCAGCTGTCTCCTGAAGTCTGATTCCTGGATATCGTCAAGAGATTGACATGCCACCACAAAAAACCAAAAAAACAAAACTGGCCTCAGTTCTACTGACACAAGTATTTCATTGCTTACATGAAAAGCAAAAGACTCATTTGGACAGTGACCAACTTTCACTGATTGTTGTTTTTCTTTTAAAAATCCTTCAGGGTACACTATGATTTACCGAGTGATGACACTAATGTTTTTCTTTTAAATAGTCTATGTTGAGCACTGTGGTTCAGCATAAGGATGGCATTGTTTGTTTGTTGTTTGTTTGTTTTCAGCTAGAGAAACATCCTCTGATTTAAAAGTCATGAACTGAATTCAGGAGCTGAACCTGTGGTCTTGCTCATTATCACAAGGGAAATAGGACAAAAGACGCTATGAACTGCACGATGGAAGACTGGATACCCAGAAGCCTCTGGGGCACCCCTTCCTCCCTATCTCTGTCTCTTCTTCCTTGTTCACTTCACCATAGAGGATTCTCTGAGGAGAACATGGGAAAATACTGGTGGATCCTATACTATGAACGTCACCCAAGCAAGAAGGGGTAAAATGTCCCTGTTTTTAATCAGAATTGTCTCTGAGAGCTCGCTGCCTACAATTAGGGAAAATAACAAAAAATCACATCTGGATAAAGGAACTTCTTTCCCTCATCTGTCAAATCAGGAAGATTTATCGTGATAGGAAGTGCCAGGTGGCAACAGTCTCCTGCCATTCGGTTGCCCACTGATTCCATTCAAATGTGCAGAAAAGGACTCGGCTTCCCTTTTCCAAGAGACCCTCTAAGAGTGAACCATGAGGACAATGTGACAACCTCAGGCACCACCTTCTTCCTCTGGCTCTTCACGTGCCACTGATGGGATTGCTGTCAGGAGGGCAGGCAGCCTCTCCCCACGGCAGACATCCCTTGTTTAGGAGCCCATTAGAACCTGTAACCCTTAGAGGCCAGCCAGAGGGGAGATATTAGGGACATCAGGCAGGCCTGTCACATGGCTGGAGAACAATTTTCAAACTAATCCAGCAAGGACAACTGGAGGCAAACAACCTTCAAATAGATGGGTGTCCTTATGGAATGAGTTGGTTTTCTGATCACATGGTGATCTGAATCCAACTCAGGGAGTCCTGAGAACCATACGTGGGAGGGGTTATCTGGTTCCACTATCTTATTTTCTTCACCACTATGTCACATGTCCCATACAGGGTCAATCCATCAGGTGGTATGACCTTCATGCTGGCTGCAAGGCTCATCAGTGAGATACAGTTAGGAGCCCCATCTGGCACTATCAGCCTTTTCTCAAAATGCAGCTGAGAGAAGAAAAGGGAATCATGTCTTATTCCTCGTGCTCTGGCCCCTGTCTTTCCAGTCAGGTACCATGGGTTCCTGTTCAGACACCTGCTAGGTGGGTTGGTGCCTCTAGGAGTCTCTGAGCCCTTGTGTAAGCTCAGAGTTGACCTAGAAGAAACTAGAAGTCTCAAAGGGAAAAAGCTGGCACCCTGTGGCTGAGGACAGAAGCCACTAGTACTAGCTGGAGTTCGCTTGCCAAGGAGACAGCCAGCCTGAGACCCTCAGAGGTGTTGGGAACGAGGCCATGCATGGCTAGGCAGTAGGGCTGATGTTCCATGAAGGACCATGAAAAGGAGAGGGGTGAGGCCAAGGGAAGCCATGCCTCGAGACTGCTGTTGGCCACATAGGACAGGGCAACCCTGCTGTGTGCTGTCCTAAGGCTTACAATGGTGCTGCCGTGTACCGGGCAGTGCTCCCGAGGCCCGAGTCCTTATCTGCAGCAGAAAGAGTGGAAGAGTTTTCTCTCACCCTCCTTGGCCAATCACCGGGGTGATCTTCACGTGCTGTTGGATGCTGTCCCCGGATTTCCGTCTGGCATAGTAAACCCCCTGCCACTCCTACATGGACAAAGAGAGCTCTTGAGATCCTTCAGTTGAGACCACGGCTGCTCCCACACTGGGTCAGTGCAGTCTTTCGTGACATGTCACAACACTGCTATGTGGCTGAGATCACGTGTATAAATGGAGGAGCACCAGGCCAGCTACCACCAAGCTGCCTACCACAAGTTCCAGGGCAGCCGGCCATCCACCGGCTGGAGCCACCACCACACCAAAGCTCAGCAGCCACCTTGCCCACGCAGGGACACAGAGGACCTGTGTGTAACTGTGCAGCTCTTCAATCCTTCCAGAAGTGCCTCAGCTTTCGTCTAGGGGCCTCCCACCCAAGGCTTCTCTGGGGGGTCACTCTGGTCCCTTGCGGGTTTCATACATGGTGCCAAGGGAGGGTAAGACGGTGGCTGTCTCAGGACCCTGGGAATTAGATTGAAATAAGGAGGCAGGAAACGTCTGGGTGGTGAGATTTCTTTACTATTTCTGGAAGAGTGTAGTTAGCTCTGAAACAGAGGTTCTCTGAAGCCATATGATTTTTTTTTGTTTTTGTTTTTGTGTCTGTTTTGTTTTGCTTTCTTTTTTCAGACAGGGTTTCTGTGTGTAGTCTTGGCTGTCCTAGACTCGATTTGTAGACCAGGGTGGCCTTGAACTCATGGAGATCCGCCTGCCTCTGCCTCCCTAAGTGCTGGGATTAAAGGAGTGTGCTACCATGCCTGGCTGCCCTGCAGCCATATCTTGCCCTCTTTCCTATATGATATGGTTAAAGGCTATTTCCCTTGAGGTTGCCATGTGTGGCTGGGTTATTTTGGCAAAAAAAAAAAAAAAAAATTAAAGAGTAGTTTACAGCATCCTGTTTCATTTTCAAGTCTAGTAGCTCTGGTTTAAAAAGTGAGTTGGGCATTCTTATAATCCAAATGCATCCTATCTCTGCCGGTACTGCCCTTTCCACTGAAGACTGCGTAACTACTGCACAACAGAGAAGAAGACAGCAAAGCCATGTGAGGAAGCATTGGGAACCTTCAGAAGAAGCAAGAGGTCACCCCAGCTCTGAGGGAGGAGAGCAGCTGCCTGGGAACATCTTACCTCCACTGTGCTTTCATCTCCCCCAGAAGGGGCAGGAAGTGTGGGTGTAGGGACAGGAAGAGCTACCCATAGATACTGAACAGCAGTGAGCAAAGAGAACAGAAGGAAGACATTTGACTAAACAAACAGCTTCTACCAATCAATGTGGATAGGTCTTTCTAGTCCCTCCTCCCAAACACCAATAAACTAGAAAAACGCGAAGCAGCTACCACTCAGGGACGCAGTGTTGTAGCAAGAATAGGCGGGGTGGGGTGGGGGGGTGGTTATATTCATGCAAGGAAGCAAGTGGCCTTCCACAAAACAATAAGCTCCTGTGGCAGCCTGAGGACATCAAAAATTAACCCATTTTGCAAAAATCAACCCTTTTGCCAAAACTGAAGTTCTTTCACTGAGCTATGATGTTACTGAAGAAGTCAGCCTTGAAGATAAAAGACCAGAACATGAGGCAGGGGGAGCACTAAGGATGGAGTGTGGGTGGGTTTCTTGGTTCCACCCACCTTTCCCTTCTTGATGCACGCATTGATGGTGTCCAGGAGATCTGCCCGGTTCTTGTCACTCTTAGGAAGATCAGCGAGTTCTTTCCCCAGGAGCTCCCCTTTGTGGTAGCCCATCATCCTCTCAAAGGCAGGGTTGACATACTGTGAGCAGGAGGGGTTACAGATCAGTGTGCCCTACAGGAAGGCTATGGGGATACAGGTATAGCAAGCCAAAGGTCCCCAGGCAATGCTCTCTAATGCAGGTGCTGCGGGCCCTCCTTGCTCATCTGGCAGGGGCAGTACCCTCACACATACTGCAGATTACTCCTCCACCTGACATCCTGGTCCTCTATGAGGAATGCAAAGAAAGCTTAGCAGGAAAGAAGCAGGCAGCCCTTAGCTAGTAGCCTCAGCCTCTGGTGGCCCTTATTCACTGTCTAAGCCTCATAGGACAGCAGAAATAGGAAGGGATATGGCTTTGGCTAGCACCTGTAAGGTCCTGAGCTGGATCCCAGCACCACTAATAACAAACGAGCCAACACACACTAGCTGACAGGTTGCAGCTTCTGACAGTGGCACTGTGCAAGGCAGCGATCTATGCGTCTCTGTACTTTCCCATCTCTTAGTCAATGCTGTGGTTGGGAACACTGTGCCATAATGGGAGTAACGGATACAGTTGGCCCATAGGGATGGGAAACATTCTTTCAGAGTGGAAACGGACTGGCCAGGACAGAGGATGCCCACGGCACACAGGGGTCAGCAGACACAGGGGGTTCTTTGCAAACTTCGGCGGGGGCTTCAGGATTTGGAGCTCCTGCCTGATCGTGCCCCAGGCTTTGGTCTGTGACCAGTTTCTCTTTAAAGATCATGGTCATCACATGAGTAGCTGTAGCTTAGAGAACACATGGTGGCAGCCGTGAGCACGCTGCACCTGGGTCAACAGTTTCCCATCCATCTGCTGCCTCAGAAACATTCTCGTTAGCCGTTCCCACTCTGCCCTTGGCTGGGGCAATCCATTAGGAGGTGGGTAACGCAGTGACCTACGGGGTGTGTGGGGGGATGTGCTGGTCCCTTGGGAGAAAGCTTCTATGAACACGTCAGCCTGAAAACATGTGGTGGAATCTCTGGCTGTCAGACACTGTGGCAGCGGCTGAAGAGGAGGGTCCCGACATCACCTTCATGACCTCCAGATCCCTCCCACCCTGGCTTTCATAGGGTGGGCATTGCCATCCCTGAGCATGGCAGGGATCACCTCCATCATGGCTGAGCTGGCGGCATGGCTCCCTCTCTAGGCTTCCTCCACATTTTCTGTCTACTGAGGAAGCCCTTCCTCATTTCTGCCCCACCAATTCCAATGTTTCTTCTCCTCCAGGAAGCCTTCTTTGACCTCTGTGCAGTCGGAGTTGGTAGCATTCCTAAGGTCCCCTGTGGACTTGTGTGAATTCTAAAGAAACGCATAGAACTTGACTTCTATCTTTCTCTCTCATAGAATCCTGAAACCTTCGGGTGCAAAGGCCAGAGCTGTGTTCAGATACACGCTCCTCAGTAAACACCCAGTGAACAAATGGATCCATTGACGAGTTTCTCATGTTCCTCATCTATTGATTGTCTCCGACAATGCCCCATGTGTGGGCTCTGCTTTCCCATTCTGTAAATTTGAGTAATAGTTATGGTTCCTTTTTTATGTTGAGGATCCTGGAACCTCAGAACCCAGAGGCATGACAGACGTGCCTGGAGCCAGCACACCAAAGTCAACCCCCTCGAAACCAGGAAGCTGACTCCGCTTCTCTGCTCCTCTGTCTTTTCACCTGCAGTAACACTACCAGGCTCCCTGGGTTGCTTTACGGCCCGTTAGAATATAATGCTAACAGCTGAGCCAGCACATGGGAAGCACGGGCAGCTGTGTTCAGGGCAGATGCAGAAAGATGGCTCAGGTGGCAGGGGCCCCGGGGCGGCAGGGACAGGCAGGTTGACGCATAGCATGCTGCTCCCGAGTGTGCCCACAGACACACAGCTCTCTGTTCAAGTGCCCTGATGGGAGGCGCTGATGTGAACAACAGCATGTGTGAAATAGCCTGTCCTTGATGTGTCATCCTGAAGTCCAAAGGAGGGTCATCAGAGTGTCTCCTCTGCGTGTCATCTGGCCTTCCTCTCCTTCCTTCTTCTTGCTGGCACAACTCATTTTAGCATCTAACCTTCCCTTTTGGCAAAACAACTTCCTCTCTGTGGGTACCAACTGTCCTCAAACTCATTTTGTCTGTCCATGGAAGAGACGAGTTGAAGAGTGGTGTGTGTGTGTGTGTGTGTGTTTTATATCATGTGACACATCACCACATCACTTGTCCCAGGGATCCAGGTTTGCTAACTACAAATTCTAGCCATGGGGTGAAGGTATACATTCCTATTCAGTGTGGTGTAGGCATGAGAAGGTGGGGCTACTTCTCACCAGTTCTAAATCATAACCCAGCCTCCCACTATGAAGTAGGTAGATGAAAAGCCAGTGTCCTGATGAGCACAACTGAAGGGCCACATCTGCATGTGACCACGGGGCTTGTGGCCAGCTCTCTTCAGGATGTAGAGCAGTAGGCAGGAAGAGCAAACAGCCAGCAAAGTACAAAAGGCTTCAGTTCCATTTCAAGGAACAGTCAAAAAATATTCTGAAACAGAGCCCCAAATAAAGCCAGGCAGAAAGGCTTAGGAGTCAGAACTATGGCTAAGCATTTTGATTTCAATGCTTACGGCTGGACCTTTTCTTGTGTTAAGTTCCTCCATTTCTCTGAGCCTCAGTTTCTTCATCTACCTTTCAAAGGCAATGACCTGAGCTGAGACAACCTAGCGAAAAGGCTCATGACAGGAACAAGATGTGATACCCTTGATATGGAACCGGAGCAGGGTGTGTCTGTATGCATACTGGTGCCATCAGAGGGTTCAAAGGGAGGCTGGTGCCACAGGGGCCACGGTGTGCCATTGTGCATCCTGCTCCACTGAAAAAAAGCAAGATCTCCTCAATGGATGCCACATACCAGCTGCAGTCTGGCCAGTGCCAGTCAGGGGACCAGGCACGTTTCAAAGTACTCTTTGAGGAAGGCAAAAGATTCTCTATGTATTCATTTCTTTAGAAAGATGGCATTAGTATTAAAGTGGTTTATAGTAGAATACCAACTGCAATTAACATCTTTGAAGTAATTTACTCTCATAGCGACTTACAAGATTGCTCAACAATCCTGTGTAAACACTGTCTTTAAGGATGGCCTGAAATGTCCTCCCACCTCTCCCTAAGAAGCAACAAGTTCTGATCTGAATTAATCAGTTTAGCCCGTCGGAGCTAGAGAGGCAGTAGCTAAGAGCACTGGCTGTTCTTCTAGAGGACTTGGGTTCAGTTCCCAGCACATAGCTCACAGCTGCCCATAACTCCAGCTCCGGGGTACCAGATACTCTCTCCTGGACTCCACAGATACCCCCCACGTGTGCTTACACACAATTTAAAAGCAATAAATTATAAAGCAACGTTTATTCTCTTCTGAATACCTAGTTCTTAATTTATCAGTCATCATCTCACACATTGATTTCCCTTTCTTCAAGAAAATGTGCAAATAGGTGAAAATCACGGGAAAGCACTTGAAATAAAGAGGTGGATGGAGCCCGAACGTTTCTTTTTCAGTATTAACGACGTGAAGAGCTTCCTCCCATACCTGAATCACATGGTCATCGCTTGTTATTTCTATGGCTTCATGACAGTGGTCTAATGCTGTAAACACCGAGTTACAGGCCCTGCAAGAAGCACAAAAGTAGTGTTAGTTCTACACATTGTTTGAACTTTGTTAATTCAGCAACACAGAAAGACCCCTGAGTCACAGGCACTAAACACTCTGTTATTGCTGTGGTCTGACTGCTGGTAGCCCAAGTGCTGACATTTCAATCCAGTGTGCAATGCTGTAGTTATGACCACAGTCATGGCAATGGAGGAAGAGATCAAGTTCCCATCACGGCCCAAACTGACCATGAGCTATTCTGGCCTTTGGTACCACAAACATTAGTTTTCCTTTTCTTAGGTGTGCAATGCCACTTTGCCCACCGCCACCCCCACTGGTGTGAAGAAAGGCAGGAGTATCAGGTAGATGTCCCCCATTGTCCAGTATCAGGTAGATGTCCCCCATTGTCCAGTTCTTTGTGCCTATAGCTTTCCATATGCCATTTTTCTTGCTGACCTCCCCAGGGAACTGAGAAATTTGAAGTCAGGAGTCCAACTGTGGTTTGGATCTCAACTAACTTCCAAATAGAAAACAAATCCAAATACACTAAGTCCTGTACTATCCAACACGGCAACTGTGGAGCTAGAACTGTATTTAAATAATCCCAGAGAGGGCTTTCTTACACAGTGTAAAGACAAAAGTAAAAAGAAAGAAAAATATTGATTTATAGGATGGACATTATTCTTGTGGGACAGATTCTTCACTGTTACTTTTTTCCACCCATGAGGGAGTGTCATTTGCTGCCATTTTGGCCCATTTGTTAAGAAAATGGCAGAGAACTGGGTCCAGTCAGACTGTATCTACCTAGCTGTGGGATCCCAGGCAGCTCCCGGCCTTTGCTTGTCTTGTTTCCCCATCGGGAGGATGATTAAAGACTGTATGTTTCATGGGCAGGGCGATGGATGGTGTACACAGGCATTTCTCAAAGGCCCACATATGGAGGAATCCAGGCTGTGGTAGGTGTTAATACATGTAGGGTCACAGAGTCATGGTGCTTTGTTCTCTAAGGCCTTCGGAAGCCGTTAGTGAGAAGGAAAAACAAGACATCTTTTTCTTGAGTCTATCCGAGTGCGACCCAGGATCAGCAAGCTAAGCAGCACGTAGGCTGGAAGGACCTCAGAGTACTGAAGGATGATGCCTGCTCCTCTGGCTGCGGAGATGAGGCTGTCTGCAGACGGGTGGGGAAGAAGGCATCCATGCTCGGCACGCAGGGTGGAGAGCCGGACTAGCTCGATGCCACTGACAGTCCTGAGGACATTTCTTCTCTCTGGCTGCTCCACCTAGCTAACTTGCACTGTGTACTGTCTAACCACCAACACGGTGTTTGCAAACATGTTTTATAGAACCAGCAAAACACGAGCAAGAATTGTAATCATCACCATCACCACACTGCCTCTCAAGAGCCCTGCAAGAGCCAGGCCTGATCAAAAGTACCTTCTAGACATCTGGTCTAGATTGAGCTTAGCTCCCTGGGAAAGCAGTTCCATGTGCTAACTACCTTTCAGAAGTGGTACGTGGAGACGTAGACTCCACATAGGCTATTTGTCAACTTTGATAGCCGGGTGATTAAGTTCTAATGAAAACATCTCATCAAATCCTCTCTGGCACATGGCTTTCTGTAGGAGGCCTGTGCCTCTAACTCAGTGTAAACAGGTGCTTCAAACATGATCCTTTTGTCCGTTCATGAGGTGTTCCTTTAATAAGCCTTATAGCTATTGAACACTATGCTAATGATTATCCATAAAACCTAAACTCTTCAGTAGATATAACCCAAAAGGACAGAGCAAATTCTTACTCTGCCCACGGACATAAAGGGACCCTGGCAGGGGCAGGATGACACAGCATTCCCCTTCCTGCTCCTCATGACCAGCTACAACGCTTATTTGGGCTTTTCAACCTCTTTGGGTTGCTGGCTCTCTTTAAATAAACCTGTAGCAAAGTGGGGCAATCAATTTGAGTCATGTTCCTAGAACCAGTGAACCTAATTGCTTGTATTAATTATTCATACTTTTCAGGCAGAAAAACTGTAGTCTTACTAAATTTCTGTTCTTGGGAAACATGAAATGAATCTCAGATGTCCTTATTTTTTAAATCTTAAGGTTAGAAAATTGAGAGGAAACAAGAAAGAGAGATAATGGATGGTGTTATCATTCAGTCTGTGCCTTCTCAAAGGTTTCAAGGGTTCAGATGGAAGAGGGACTGTTGCCGGACTCAGGCAGAAAGCCCATGGGCGGCCCAGCGGCGCCCTGGATGTAAAGGCCGAGAGTGTACTGCGGCACGGCAACCAGGGTGGCGGCGCCGGGACCACACGGGAGCACGCCTGGCGGCGCCGGGACCACACGGGAGCACGCCTGGCTCCCGATGTCTTCCTGTCTGTTGTGGCTGGGATGGACATACGCTGTTCTGCATATCTTAGAAAGGTACTTCATCTGGGTTCTATCCAAACAGAACACACACACACACACACACACACACACACACACACACACTCACACATCTCATGCAAAACGTGTCTATGTGTATAGGCCTTAAAGGAGGTGGGGCCTAGCAAGGTAATGGCTTTTAAGAAGATTTTGCACACAAGGCTAGTCAGAGGCTCAGAATTAGTTAGACAGACCTAAGAGCAGGCAAGGGGAATCATGGGAGTCCTACTTGGTGACAGTCATGGCTGGTGGCGTGAATGAAAAGGGACCTATTTGTCGTTTAAGTATAGATGGGAATCACCATTCACAAAGTCTGGACTGAAGTGTCCACCTTTAACACGGGCAGCTTCCCACAGTACAGACTGTGTCCTTGTAGAATGACAGTCATGCTACATATTTAGCTGCAGCTGGGGGCGGAATTGTAGAGGAAAGTATTACATAATTAGACTATAATTATTCTGGCATTGTATAATAAAGAGCTCATTTGCCAGTCTTTAACAAACGACATAGTTGCTTGTCTGCCTTGGGTGCAGGTAGATGCTCTATATGTCCTTGAATGCTCTACAGAACGGTACCAAGGTCATCGTCTGAACCATTGTCCTCTGTCTAATGGATCCAAATTTTGTAGCCCATGAAGATTCAAGTAATGTATATTTACTCCCAGCACCCAAAAGGAGCAGACTCAAGCAAAGCCGAGGAAAGGGCTGAAAACCAACATATCAGCAGGTGGAGAAGCAAGAACATCCAAAGAGTGAGGCAAGCCCCCTGCTTCCTGGGGCCTCTGCTTCCTGGGTTAAGTCCATTGACTAGTTTCACACTGATTTACATGAAAAGCCTGACCATTCCATTATGACCCCAGCAATGGGTTCAACTCCTCCAGCTAGTTCCTGGCAGGGAGAGGATGAGAAGCTGCAATGCTCACAGTGCTGGTAGATGAGAAACTTGTAGTTTGGATGTGATGAGACCATGAGAACTCCCACACTGGGACTGTGTCAGGCTCAGCAGCGCACTGACCTGAAGATGGGGCTGGCAGGGGCGTTCATTTCAGAGCATCAGGCCTGCTGGGGTTCTGCTCACCACCGTCAAGGTGCCTTAAATATCCACAAGGGAACCTCCAATGCACAAATCTGTGTGGAAACTGAATCAGGACACCATGTAGCGGGGCCCATCACTTGTTCTCTAGCCTAAAAATATAGGGCACCGATGGCCCAAAACAGCATGAGGGGTTGCTGGCCACAATGATAAAGTGCTGAGTCATCTGCTTTTATTGTAAGAAATAAAGTTAAAAGATCAAACCACAACAAAATATCTCTTTTTATTTATTGCAAAAACATCAAAAATCAAAGTGCTAAGTTGTTTTACTCTCAAGGAGAATCAACGGAGGCTCCGAGGGAGTACATATACTTAATGAACATTATTAAAAAGAATAAATTACTGAGGCAAAGAGAATGTAGATTTTTAGAAAATTTATATGACGTTATCAGAAGCAAACATACAGATAAAAAGAAACTAAGGGATTTAACTAATTTAAACATTCAAAATATCTTTGGTGCTATTTCTTAAGGCCTTGAACTATCAAAATCCCTCAAATATCAGAATCCACACAGGTGTAACATAATTTTGCTTTTTTAAAAAAAAATATCTTTATCTATCTATCTATCTATCTATCTATCTATCTATCTATTTATTTATTTATTTATTTATTATTGCTTAAGGGTGTGTGTGTTTTTGTGTGTATGTGGCTTATGCAGACTCATGGTGCAACACACATGAATGTCAGAAGGCAACTTGCTTCCACCACCATTGGGGGCAGGGCAGAGATTAAACTCAGCTTGGTGGCAACACCAACATTTTTAAAAGAAACAAACACACAAACAAAAGACAAAACAGAACACCCCATTCCCATCTCAAAGAGTGATTCCTTATTCTAGCATTTCATCTCTTACACTGCTGTAGTCACAGAAGCCACTACCAGACCTGTAACTGTAATCACTGGAGCCACTACCAGACCTGGGTAATAATCACTGAAAGCTGCTACCCAGACCTGGGTAACTGTAATCACTGGAGCCGCTACCCAGACCTGGATAACTGTAATCACTGAAAGCTGCTACCCAGACCTGGGTAACTGTAATCACTGAAGCCGCTACCCAGACCTGGGTAACTGTAATCACTGGAAGCCACTACCCAGACCTGGGTAACCTGTCTCTGTGGGTCTATACCAATCATTCTGCTTTCTAGGGCCGGGAGAAAACCAGCTTCCAAACTCCTCTGTCATATTTGCATGCAAAGTAAGTAATGAAGATTAAAAGCATAATTACGATGGGGAGATCTTCTCTTGATCTGTACACTGGGCATGAGGTAAGACAAGGTACATAGAGGGAGAAACCACACAGGGACTTCCATGAAGGACACCAGGAAACTCCTAGAAACTGGTCTTTCCATAGGGCCAAAGGTATGGAGGAGCCTCCTGAAGCTTATGTTCTCTGGCTTGAGGGCAGGTTGAAGAAATCCTGCAAGCTAGAGCAGAGCCTGAACTAAATGAGGCAGTTGCCAGGACCCTGATATTCCAAGAGAGCCTATAAGTGGAAGATAACACAAAAAGAATCCCACACAGAAGGGACAGCCAGTGGGCAGCCATATTTTAAAGCACCACACACCTACCAAAAAACCTAGGCTTGGTTTCTGGATGCTCTGCCATGCATACTGGCCATGAAGCAGACTTCATGAAACTGCTGCGTAGCCATTATGATGGGTAGTATAATAAACGTACCTATCAGCTTCCCTGACTTTAACAACCCAACTAGGAGTTTATTAAGTTGGAACTCAGAAGTTGAAGGTAATTTTTAAAAGTCTGTTCTTAGTCTCAATCTAGTTATACAAAAATTGAGCAGGATTTCCTAAGTCATGGTTTAAAAACTGTTGCAAATACATACTGTCAAAAAAGATGTGCTTTCCAATTATTTCATTCTCTCAAAGGACTCCAGTTAATGTATGCTGTTGGCAGGCAGTCTAACAACTTCAACATCCCAGACATCAGCTCTGGATTTGTGAACTTCGGCCTGTTGACAGTTAAGACTTTCTGAAGAAACCTCGTGCACTGTCTTATTTTGCTACGTACCGTAATTTGAACTGTGAGCGAACTTCCCCATGTTCTATTTGAATCAGTTCATTATAGCAAGCAATTATGCTGCTATTCTCCATAAATCTCTGAAAAGAAAGCAAAGATAATGCATAAGACATTTCCAATTATTTCTTAGAGAGTCAAACAGAGAAACTTAACAGTTGTTCCTGCCCCCAGGTAGCTCATTATGCAAAACATCTTGTAGGGAGGAAGGGATGACATAGAAAAATCGTCAAGGAATGTGAAGTGCTTGTTCAAACATCAGAAACAACAGCGCAGGTGAGGCACTGGCTCGTCGTATAACAAAGATGTAGCAAATGTAGTCACAAGGGTCACAGCAGAGCCAACAGACACCTGAATGCACCGCGTGCCTCCCCAGCTGTGCTAATAACCGAACATTCTGGTTTTATCCTGCAACAACCACCTGAAACCCAATATGGCGCACACTCAGGCCGCAGCGTGCCAGTGAGTCTTTGTTATGGGAGTGTTAATTCACCTCCTTCTGAATCTTTTGTGTGCCAAATGCAGAGCTCATTTGAAGTATCAGTGATCCCAATAACAGAAGACAGACAATCAAATGAAAAATCAGGCGAAGGAATTGAGGAGACGTTTCTCAAAGAAAAGACATGCATGTCCAGCAAGCACATGAAGGATGACCAACCTCACCAGACTAAAGAAATACTATGATGTCACTTCTTAGCCACTAGAATAAACATAATTTAAAAAAAGTCTTAGTAAAAATGTGCAGAGTCAAAGTCCTGTGCATTGGGTTAGTCATTGTAGAAGACAGTGTATGTGTTATTCAAAATTAAACCAAAAGAATTGAAAATGGCTACCTCAAGCAAAGACTTGTAGGATCAGGTCCACACAGCTTTACTTACATGGCTAAGAGGTAGAATGACAGTCTGTGAAGAGATGAATGAACACAATTTGTGGTATGTACATACTGTACATTTTTACTCAGGCATAAGATGGGAATGAAATGCTGGTGTATGCTACAATATTCAAACCCCCCCCGCGAATACTAAGAAAGAGGATAGACGCGAAGAGCTATGCACTATATGATTCCGTTCATGCAAACCATCTAGACGGCTCAGTCCTTACAGATGGACCGCAGCCTGGTGCTTGCCAGAGCTCGGGAAGCAGGACTGGACCTGACCACTTACTGGGAACTTGGGGCTGAGGAAGAAGTTTCAGAACGAGATGGGGATAGGTGCTGTGCAACATCAAGCAGGCTCTAAATGTCACCGCATTGCTCACTTTAAAATGATTTATTTCAGGTTCATCTCAATTACAAAAAATAAAGGCTTTCACATATTTACAGACCCTTAGCGGGTTAGTAAATGCATAAGCAAAGCCTGAAGCCAAACAGAATGCAACACTGTTCATCAGAGAGCTGTGACGTGTGCACTTCACGTCAGGTAGGACAGAAGGAATGTCTCAACAATCCCAAACTCATTTTTACATTAGGTGTGTCCTTTTAAGATATTTTGGTAGATGGGCATTCTTCTTGCATGGATGTATGTGCACCATATTTGTGTAGTGCCCACAGAGGCCAGGACAGAGTGTTGGGTCTCTTGGAACTCACAACTTACAGTTGTGAGTCACAACTTACAGTTGTGAGTCAGGTGCTGAGAATTGAACCTGGGTCCTCTGGAAGAGCAGTCAGTGCTCTTAACCACTGAGCCATCTCTCCAGCCACTTCTTTACATCTTTTAAATTGGGCACATTACTTGCTGTAGGGTATAACAAAAAAAATATCAAGTATCTCTCCCATATGAACACACGAACACTTTAGGAGAAATGAGGAAAGCAGAAAAATACAGCAAATAAAAAAATTGTAAAGAAACAGATCTAAGGACAATTTGCTAAAGACTGAAGAAAATATTTTGCATTTTTAACTCATAAAAATATACTCTGCAAAATTTTTTAAGCATATAGCTAACACACTAACACACACACACACACACACACACACACACACACACAAAGCTTCCCAAACTACCCAGCTGTGTTAGTGGTTCTTAGGCAGCCAGATAGATGGAGAGGAGACTGGAGAATGCCAGGTGCAGCCAAATGGTCCATTTATAGATTTCCTTCAATCAAGTCAGCCAGAGAGAAAAACCAATTCCTCTCTCCACTCCTGTGTTGGTGTGTGGGTATGTGTACGCACACACTCATGCATGCATACACGCAGGGACACACACACAGAGGCACCTGAACATCTGGAGTGGACGGTGTCTCCCTGGGGAAGACCTTCAAAGCCCTCAAACTTTCCATAGGCCTCTTATTCTCCAAGTAGAGAGGAACTTACAAAAAGGAAAAGCCACACACAGGCAGAAGGGAAATGATCTTTTAGTCACAAAGCAGAGTTGATCAAGATTTACATCCGCCCAAGTTTTCAGACGGGTGAGAACTGTGCCAGCCAATGGCAGTTCTCAGGGTAGCAGATCGCTGTCGTTTCCAGGAGAAAAGTTCGGATAATGCTGAAGTGCACGGGTGCTGACTCCAGGGCCCTCCCAGCATCTTGTAGACTGACACGCTAGCGTAGCCGAGGGTTCTCCCTGTGGGAGGAGTACCCAGTTACAGATTCCCCTAACCACCTTTTACAGAACACGGGAGAGTGTCCTTGGCATGGCTGGGAAGCTACATTAGTGGGTAGACCCAAAAAGAGCAATGAGCAAACATACAGCGAGCTGCACCCTTGCCTTTGTTAGGAATGTGCAAGCTAGTCAGATTTTGGAGTCTGTTTCCTCCTCTGAAAATAAAATGGAGAAAATATCAAATCCTTCATATGTCGTGAAAAATTAAAGCAAATCACCTGGAACTGGGCCTGATAACTAAGACACTGTAGCTCCCCAGCTCCCTGCTCCAAAGGAAACCTCTCCTAGGAGAAGTGTGCTCACAGCCGTGAGCCCAGCATGCCTTCCACACTGTCTTGCCCATAGAGCCCCATGAATACTTGTTGAGATGAACAAGCACCCTTCCTGGCTGGGCGCAGTGAGAGCAGCTGCACCAGGCAAGATGCTAACTCCCGCAGAGTGCAGTGTAGACTGAGCATCCACAGAGCTGGCCACATGCTCAGGGCTCCAAAGGCTTTGGAGGGAGCTGTTGGGGTCTGCTTGACGGCACAGTTTCTTCCTGGATCCCCACTCAGGGATCGTAGACCATCATGCTGACCCAGTAGCTACTGACAAAAAGCCAAGTTTTAGCAAATGATTTAATCAAAACTAACCAGGAAAGGGAAACAACCTCACAGAAGGCAAGGTAGCTGGCACATCTGGAAGACACTTGGACAGAGGGCTGCCAACAACGAGATATTCTCCAAGCAAGTAAGAGCATCTGTCTGGAGATCTGCCTCCACAGCTTCGAGGCCACAGTACCCAGAGGAAGGCATCACAGATGCTGTGTGCTTTCCTGGGAGAGAACCTGAGGGGCCGGGGGCACGCTGATTAATTGGTGAACGGTCTCCATCAAATTAGAACCAGCCCTCAAAATACCAGGCAATCCCTGATAGGCACTGACTTCTAGGCTCCCACTCACCATGAGTTCATTCACTGTGCATGACACATTTGGACCCCAAGCACAGGAGATATTCTGGAGTAGCATGGACAGGTAGGAAGAAAGCAGAGAACCTTTGTTTTCTTAAGAATATTTGCACCTAACAGATATGTGATCTCTGGAGGAAGCTACCCTCCAAATGATACCAACTCCAAAAATTGTTGGAGGAAAGATTGCTGAACTGAGGCACAATTCTAAGGCCACTTCAGAGACCAGTATGCATCCTAGATGATAAAGCCAACAAGCACAACAGGGTCACCCTTCAACTGGAAAACCAAGGTAACCAGGAAAGTTAATGTCCTTGTGTTCTCAGAGTTCTGACTCACACTTGAAAAGGTCAGTGTGGGAAGGGGGTGGAATGGTGTGCTCCATGTGACACAGAAGATCAATAAAACCTGTGAATAATTTCAGAGTTATTTCTCAGGAAAAAAAAATGGATGAGTTTAAAAAAATGAAATAAATGGCAGTCACATGGCTTCGTTGCTGACTGTCCTCTGGCAATTCCGCACTCCTAAACTCAAAAGCTTTCTCTCACGCACCCATATTCAACCACTGCACATAAGGCAAGCTTTCAGAAACAAATGCCAAGTTTCATAAAAAGAGATGACAGACACACAGGGAAAAGTGTCGGGATGGCAGGGATGCTGAAAGCCAGACACACTCACTCTTACATGTTTTGAACCAACGCAGCCTTATCTTTTATAGAGTTCTGCTTCTGGGTGGAAACTGCCAAACCACGAGAACTGCTTCACCAAGGAAGCTCCTGCTTTGCCATGCGCAGCTACCAAGAGGAATTTTCATCTTAAACCCAGACTAGCAAAGTGCCATTCCTACTCAAAACACCGAGAACTCTGAGGACCACTTGTCTGAGTTTATACTACCAGTAAAATTTACAGCGATCAGCTATGGATTGCTGCTCTAGTTTTACCTAAAATAAAACAATTTTTAACAGAAGGAATAAATATGTTTGCCGTGAAAATGTGAAGGGAGGACTCCATACAATTTCTATATGACTCTGTCTAATTTTCATGTTTCTTTTTCCACTCCACTTTCTCTTCTTTGTTTTAAATTAATTCCACTGTTTTCTTTACATTTGCCCATACACAGCTTTGTCTGCAACCCAGGTTCTACATTTCCTTGTAATCCTAGTTGTTTGTCTGTTTCTCTTTCTTAGGACAAGCACTCTTAATTTTTAAGGTGATATCAATGTTTTTCATGTAGCTATTTTTCAAAGTGAAGACTTTTCTTTTTCTGGTGTGAAACAGCGGTTTGCAAGCTGCTGTAGCCAGCGTGAGCCTGCTGCTAGCTGAAAAGCTCTGGGCTGCCCTGGAGAGCGGAGAACCGAAGGAGCAACTTGGCATGTCATCTTTACATGAGCACACACACACGCCGAGTCTGGCTGGTGGATCTACGTAGGGCTACTCTGAGACTGTTGAGTGTTGATTTGATACAAGAGGCATTTTTATTGTCACCATGTATCGCTGCTCTGATAGATGGAATTAAGAAGCAATTGGTTGCCTAGCACAGCTCTTAAGCTGTGAGCTTTGCTGTCCTGGGAGAGTCAGGGAGACTAGAGAGAGCCTCTTAGTCCCCTTGTACATACCCGGTTGAAGCCTGCATGGAGAAGAGGGAGAACTGAGGCCTCTTCATGGTCATCAGATCTGCAGCAAAGCAGAAAATGTGGTCACTCAGCAGATACAAACCAGGATTCCTCACACTGAAACATGGAGAGAGAAGAATGAGGCCATTGGCAGTCACTGAGGAGATGCTTCACCAAGAGCTGTGCCCAGGGGGCATCTGCCTTCCAGGACACAGAACCTACACCTGTCTTTCAGATGTAAGCAGTCGAGGAAGCAACAGCAGTGGGCTGGAAGTGCTCTGGGCTGGAAGTGCTCTGGCTGGAAGTGCTC